TCAGTCTACCTTATCGTGTTCTTTAGTTCCATTTACAACAGTTTCCTTAGAATCCTGTTTTTGTCCAACCCCATACAAATACGTAGCAATCATAACTAAACCAGCTCCAAATACAAATGGTAAACTAACTCTAAACTCGAAGAAATAAACAGAAGCAATACAGGATACTACTATTGAAACTGCTGCGGAAAATCCTTTGAGAATGTTGTCGGCATACTTCACCACAACCCCTACTAAAAGACCCCCAAATGCTTGCATTGCAATAATAAGCCACACAAGCTTATGGTATCCAAAAAGAAGGCCTTTTTCCTTGATTTGATCTCCATTGTTGATGTATACACCTATGCTGCCAATGATGATGCCAAAAGTGGCAAGCTGGAAGTTTCTGGCCCAAAGTGAGGTCTGAGTACCTTTCAGAGTCTTTTCAAAGTAAACACCTGATTAAAAAATGAAGCAGGGAATAAAATTGTTTTATTGTTTCATTATCATTTTGCCATACACACAAAATATATGTTGTAGTTAATTTCTATGTCAGATAATATTTATTTTTCTTTTGTTTTAACTTCATTAGCATACATTACCATACCCAAAAATAAAATGAAAACAAAAATTTCCTAAGATAAAAAATTAACTACAACATAAACATGTAAGCCCCTGGCTTCTATATAGGCTTCCCTGTCATTACCACTTTGAACATTTGTAAACTAATTTATTTAGAATAGTGTCTATTATCTTTAATATATTATTTAAGAGATCTTGAAGATAGCAATCTAGCTGATAATTTACATACCTCAAACTACGAACTTTTTTTCATACTGTATTTTTTTGAACACTGTATACTGCCAATAAAACATAAACATTTTTCACCAACTTACCAGCAAATCCAGAGCATAAACTTGATGCTACAACAGCAGCAAGACCCAGCAAAGGATTCTGGCTCTGTGACGAGGGGCTTATTGTAGGAATGGACTCCTCAGGACTCTGTGCCACAGGACCATCAACAGGCTGCAACTGAACTACAGACACACCAAGAAACAGCATGAACAGGGCCAGCCACTGAATTTTGCTGATTGACTTTTTTAACATAGCAACCGAGAACATAGCCGTCGTTAAGATTTTCAGCTGGTATGACACCTGTTAAATGAAGAAAAGCAAATTAATTATAGTAAAAGTTCATGTAAAGGCCGTACCTATTTTAATTCTTAAATTTAAGGCTTAAAAAATGACAAGAAAATGCCTTGTCTAGTTTCAAAAGAGGTTTTTCAGCAAAATTTCTAGGAGCGAATGGGTTAAGCAAATTAAAGGAAGCATTTGGATTCAATAGACAGGGCAATCATTAATAGCCGGGGGCTGGGGATTTCACCCAGCTACCATGAAAACGGCCCCTTGCTACTTTCAAAGGAAAATAGAAGAAAAATAGAACCAAAAGAAACCCCTGGCCGTTTGATTCCCAGCCTACTTGTGTTGGGCATTAACCTGGCAACTTAAAATCTTAGTGACAACCCTGAAATAGAAGTAGAAAATGGGACAAAGGCTATCACCTCTAACACCTGTTCCAGCTGATCACTTAGTAAATAGTCTCTCATACAATTAGCTGTTAAGACAGAGGTTCCCAGCTTGTTGATCTTCTTTTTATATTATGCCCTATGACTGGACCTAGCCATAAAATACTTTCTGAAAACAAAAAAAGGTTACCAGTACATGTAAAATCATGTTTTACTTAATAAAATTCATTACCTGATAGGTTGCTGCATCCAGATTAGAAACAGCCACATAAAGAAGATTGTTCTGAACTGTGTAAATGCATGCGGGAACCAACATCTTGGCCATATCAATAGGATGACCAATAGTGATAGAGTATAACAACTTCAACAAATCAGCTGCACTTCGTTTTTCCACAAAGAGAACTGTCACTGACGAAATGGCTTTGACAATTTCTGTAATCATTACTGCAGTGCTGGCAAAATACATGTCCCCTGGAAGTGTCCGTGTGTAACGCATTGTTAGAATAAGAGATGCATTCTGGAGTGTTAAGATAATGAGACTCCATGCCTTGATACCCATGGACTTTGCAGCTGAAAATTAAAAAAAAAACTCTTTTTAGCCATGAAAACATGGATAATATGCTTTCTAATTTAAATCATTATATGAATAAGCAAATACATGGCTGTTTATCCGTCAAAGTCACACCACAGTTAATGAGGGGGAAAATGAATTTAGAAATAAAGAAAAAATATTTTAGTAAGTGAATTCTTAATCAAAACATTTCTATTAAAGCCACTTGTAGCCTAGTTAAAGCCCTACCCACCCCTCTCCACTAGAGGGATGAAATACTGCTGTTTTTCCTTTTTCATAGAGAAAGAGTAAGGTTATACTAGGCCAGTCTTGTAACTCCTGTTGGCTTTTTATCTTAGGAACAAATTAGCAGTTCCTGACTATTAATGTAATTTACATTACATAGGAGCAGAATTACCCACTCTTCTCCCAAAAAAATCAGCATACATGGTGTGGTAGTCTACAGTTTTATACAGCAAAATTCCTACACCATGATTGCCAAACAGTGCATTTAGGATTGTATCCAGTATGAAGAAACCCAAGGAAGACGCACTGGTAGTAAAGACTGTTAAAATTTCTTTTGATCGGCGTACGAAAAATACATACTTAACCTTATAAATTATGGCAAAGACTGCAATAAACAAAAAAATAACATTTTTTGAATTGCCTCAGTTAGAATTTTTTGTGCAACAACAAACAAAATTAATGTTATAATGACGATATGATGACACTGACTGTCAGGCATTGGAGTCAGTCACAAATTATGGCTTCTTTCTCTAATCCCAACAAAGCGCTAGAGACTTGAGTTCTGTACCGAATTTCCACGATCGCTTGACCATTCTTTATCGAAAAATGATAGCTTGAATTGACTAGAACTCTTTGATTTGGCAGTTTAAAAAATTATAAATCGGACTTGCGATCACAAAGTGTTTTGAAAACCTTGAGTGGTTTCGCGCTATGTAGACTAGTTACAGCGCACTTAGTTCCTGTTCAAGAGCCGGCCGGCGTTTAGGAAAGTGTTCGCGCTGCAGAAATCAAAACAGACAATCGACTCCTTGAGGCCAATGTAAAACAACGCGATTCAATTAAAGACATCAGATCGTCAAATAATTTGGACTTAAAGACTCAAAAAGCTTAGTTGCTGAAAAATTTCGAAAAGTAAACAAAAGCAACGTGAACTCACCGGCCGCCATCTTGATGAAAAGGACAATCACTGATGAATGCTGGGTATTTTAGGGGGAAAAGCTGCTGGATTTAAGGACCATCGACTCAATGAAGAAAATATCGGCGATCGCGGCGTCTAAACTCATTCATTGTTTACACTGTATTAGTTCCATTCGGCTGGGTTAATAATACTTTGAAGTGAAGGTTTACTTTACGATCATTGTCCTCTAGTATGACTTTGTCGTTTAATGTCAAGGAGAACCGGAAATGTGATTCTTCGCTACAAGAACCTTGCTTGGCACAAAACTTTGAGGATGAAAGCAAAAGCTCGAAAAATCATTTGAAAGAGAATGGTGAGTCCTTTTCCTTCTTGTTTTTTTAAACGTTGTGTTTTAAGTACTGCTCAGAAAAGAGACTAAGCACATCAATAGCTGCACTTTTTTCAAACTTTTCATTAAAGTCAGCTGTTTGAAGCAGTAATCAGAAAACTGGGACATAGGAACGGAATTTTTAATCTCCTCGTCTCCTCGTCAAGAAAAAGCTATGATGGTTGTGAAAATCACACTGATCTTATGCAATCAAATGTTCATTATTGCCTTATATTTTGAACAAGTTTTACTTTTTTTCAGTAAGCTTAAGAAGAATGCCGTCAAATTAGTTTGAGATTTTTCCCAAGTTACTTGGCTGTGACACTATCTATCTATGTTACCTTTAATCCTCAACTCAAAGCCAGAATAACGTCATATAAAGCCCAATTCTCTGGTACCCCTAACCTAACTGTGACATAGCTGCCGGTTTCCCTAACCTCTCTCATGCTGTTCTGATGTACAAGAACAGAAGTTGCTGGCAATGTAAGACATCACAGTCTTAATGACCAACAAGTCTGCGAAATTGACTTGAGTTCAACTCCACAGGCTTGTTAGTAAAGACTGTGATGGCTGTCGTTGTGGCAGCATATACCCTGATATCAGAGCAGTATTCCAGGCAGTAATGATGGCTTAATGTTGCTATATTTGCTAGAAAGTTACCTCTGTCATTGGATTCCAAAGCTTGATCTCCATACATTTCCTTAAGAATTAGTTCATAGAATTTTATATAAGATCAAAGCATTTTTTCTTTAGGTGATCATTTATTCTCATAACCATTTGTCTTGTTTATCATAGTTAGTAGAGCCTAACTATGTGTTTACGTATCGATTCTGGAAGAAAATTGATGCTGGTCACTCATGGGATTTAAAGGGTTANTTTCCTTAAGAATTAGTTCATAGAATTTTATATAAGATCAAAGCATTTTTTCTTTAGGTGATCATTTATTCTCATAACCATTTGTCTTGTTTATCATAGTTAGTAGAGCCTAACTATGTGTTTACGTATCGATTCTGGAAGAAAATTGATGCTGGTCACTCATGGGATTTAAAGGGTTAATACAAGCTTCGAAGTCAAAAATACTTTTTTTCTCTACCATTACTTACCCTTGCTTTGTTTTTTTTTTCTCAGACAATGTACCATTCACATCATCTGCTACATTCAGGACCATCATCTTTTTGGTTCTCACCCTTCAAGCCACATGTTACTTCTCACTTCTCCGTTATTCCAGAACAAGAACAAACAAGATGTACTTTGCTTCCACTGCTGTTTTCTTAGCAGAAGTTATAAAACTTATGGTTACTTTGCTTATAATATTTATCCAAAGAGGAAATCGCAAAGATTTCACATCATTCCTTGTTGATAATCTTCTCACAAGCCCACTGGATACGCTCAAGCTGTCAGTTCCCTCGGTGCTCTACATTATACAAAATAATCTGGTTTATATAGGCATGACTCATCTAGAGTCAACAACATTTCAGGTATGTACATAGATCTGGGTTTTGTGAGCCTCATTTACTCTGGTTACCCCGGTATTAGTCCAATAGTCGTGTTTGTCAGAACGCATCCTTATCTGGTGTTCTTGTGGCACAAAGGCAAAAATTTTTAAGCTATCAAGGGCAACTGTCGATAAGCCACCCCTATTTTATCAGACGCCACAGTGAACTGGACTCCTTTGGACTTCAACAGGCAAGATAACAGGACAAACACGGATCCATAATCAATGATTGTTACTAAATAAAGACTATTTCAGATCTATAATGGATAATTTGAGAAGCTATTTCAAACCCTCAACATGTTGTTTCATCTGATACCCAATAAGTTGGTATTAGAAAACTCAGCTGCTGCCCCAATGTTTTTAAACCCACCTCTTGGTGTCTGGATATCAGATGAAAACACTGCATCCTGTGTTTAATATAGTACTGAAATAAAATTAGGAGCTGTAGGTTGTAGGTAGGAAATAGAAATCTCCTAAAGAAGTGCACCTTGAGTGAGTTTAAAAAACACTTAAAAAAATATGCCACAGCTAAGGTTACTGATGCCTACAGAAAAAGATCTGAAATACATGAATAAAAATTGGACATAACGGCGTATGTCCTTTGTCTGAGCCCTGTCGAACTCTTTGTTTTGACAACAGACTTTTTACAAGAAGTCAAAGAAAAGATTTATGCAACTGGCTTGTTAGTTAATGCACACTGTATTTTTTCGGAAGGGACAAGTTAACAGAAGGCTCCTGAGGTGCCCTTGCACCCCCCATTTTTTACCCCAGATGTCCCTTCTCTCATCCCACATACCCCTTCTTCACCTCTGATCATACTGTTTGTGCCGCCGTTCAGACACCCCTTCCTCTCTTGAGCCATTTTTTAAAGTCTACTCAACTAAACTTGCTAGAGATAATTGCATGAGATCTGAAGGTGTACAGCAACAATAAATAATTTTTGTTATCTATTTCACCTGATGATATGATAACTGCTCCTTGCACTAAACTGTACTATGAGAATGCACTCAGTTGTCTCCTTTATTTTCAGATCACAAACCAACTGAAAATTATTAGCACTGCAGTCTTCTCCATTGCTTTATTAAACAGACAGTTAACAAGATCAAAGTGGATTTCCTTGGTTCTCCTTTCTATTGGTGTCACATTGGTTCAGATTGACTCCCATACATCTGTGCAACCCAATATACTGCTAAACACTGATGACGAATATGATCATAGAAATGGACAGTCTTCAATCCTGGGACTAATGTCGGTTCTTACAGCCTCATTAGTATCTGGATTTGCCGGTGTTTATATGGAGAAAATATTTAAAAGACAAAGGCAGACCTCATTTTGGGTTTCAAATGCACAGCTCTACACCTTTGGTAGTCTTCTAAGCTTTATTGGAGTTGTTTATCAAGATTGGGCTGATATTACAAAGATGGGTTTCTTTCATGGCTATGATTTTGTCGTATTGTTGGTGGTGTTGTTTGCTTCTGCTGGTGGTATTATTGTTTCGCTGATTTTGAAGTATGCTTCATGTATAACAAAAGGATTTGCAACATCCTGTGCAATTGTTCTTTCAAGTGTAGTATCAGTCTATGCGTTCAGTTTTGTTCCTAGTATTTTATTTGTTGCAGGAGCTGTGTGTGTTGTTGTGGCAGTGTTAATGTATAGTTAGTCAGTTCATTCTTAGGGTGTGTTTGATTGATCGTCTTCCAGAATAAGAATGCACAGAAATTTGTGATAAATCTCTTCGGCTGTAAAGTTTTGGACCTTTAATGAACTTCGTTCATCTAATTTATTAATTTCCACCAAGGTTCTGAATTTTACCTCCGAAAGGACTTGTGTGTGGCTGAGCAGTTGACACCTTGAACTCTGGATCTGGAGGTCTGGGGTTGAAGCCTCGTCCATCGCATGTTTCTGTACTGCTGGGGGTAACCCTGCAGAGGACAAACATCTCATCCAGGAGTGGGGGGAGTGGCAATACTGCTAAGCATGCTTCATGCAAAGGAAACTTGGATGAGCTCTGGCCATTTGGGCCTTTGGCTTTGGCTTGTGTGCACCTTTACCTTAATTTTGTCTTAATCCAAAATATGGTCAATTGAACACACCTTTAATCCTTTCACATCAGTCTTTAATTTCCCTTGATTATTGAAGCAGTTCCTGAAAGATTCCTAATTTCATTGTGTTGTTTTCTTGAAAACCCATACATGTAGCACAAAGAATAAATTGAAAGTATTGGTAATGCAGAAGAAGTCACACCACAGGATTGTATTAACAAACTCAAAGGTTAGAACAGATGTCTACACACTTGACTGCCGGCTTTTTATACTGGTTTCTTTTATTATGTATCAGCTGTTTTTTACCTCGAAGAAAGTTATGTTTATGCCTTTCTCTATTACTTTTTTCTCAATAGAATTTTATGTTTGAAAAATTTTTTCTTTTATTTGTTTTTTTGTTGTTGTTGTTGTTGTTTTTTTTTTTAAAGCATTCTAAATGTAGAAAGTTCATGGAAGGTTATGTTTTGCTTGAACATTAGGTTTTGGATGCTTTAATTCAGAATATTTTTGTTTTTCAAAAATGATAATTTATGAAATCAGTTGCTTACCAAGAAATGTTTTTTTTTTTTGTATTTTGTATTTTTTTTGTCATTGAAACAACCAGTTATCTCAAAAGTGTGGTTCAGATAATATGATAATAATAATATTACCCTAATTTGAGTGAATGTTATTACTATGAATGATAATATTGATCTTTGATGAAATAAATTTTGTGGAGTTCAAGTCGGAAGTTAATTCAGCCAATATACAACTAATGTATCACAACTGCATATGCATGTTGCCCCGGAATATTATTGTACAAATGATGGTTTGAGAAAGGAAAAAGTGAAGGAGTCAATGTTGCGAATACGTAAAGTCTTTCAGCTACTCCTGTCAACTTCTGTGAGTGACTTCATTAAAGAAGCTAACAAAAAGTAATTTCTTGTTTCTCTCTGTTTTCGTAAAGCTTTCTTGAATTCAATTATTCACTTTTTTTGAGCGACCAGAGAAATATTATTATGTGAATTTCTATGTAAGTTATTGTATGAAAATCAATAAAATTATTTATGAATTCTCACCCTTTTGTTCTTTTGTTTATATATTAAATTGATTTCATAAGATGTTCCAAACACATTATCAAGCCGTTAATAGCTAATGAATTCTTCTTGTGCCAACTGGCTCATCCCATTCCTTTCTACAGTGGTTTACTATCCAGTAGTGCTCCTTTTCATCTGTGAAAAAACCAAAATGATTGTCCAATTTTTATTCATCCGAAATCTTTTTACACAACACCCACCATGGGACAGCTGTTTACTGGAGGTGCATGCCACTCTCAGGTACACCCAGTCGTTTTGTAAGGGGGGGTGGGAGGGGGGAGGTGTCTAACAATACCTTGTCATACTACAGGTCGATGTGTGCTCGCGCATGCGTAGTGGCAAACTACATGTTACTTTAACCCGCACCTGTATTTCGAAGAAAGACAGAGTCGTAATTGATGACAGTTCTTTTGATGGGATCATAGAACCCATCTCCACAGTCGTACATGCCTTCTGGAATGGACAGAGGTGGATGCTCATTAGACAGTTGTGATCGTCCTAGCATTCAAACAAATAAAACCTTGTTAGAAGAAAGATTTAGAGTAGAGAGGTTAAGCATCACGTTTACATCAAACGGCTAACGCGAAATTTGTACCACGTGACCAAGTTTTCCCTTTGCTTGTCGCGTACTGTTCATTATTTCTACACACAAATTAGTAGTTTCATGCAATTTTTTTTCCATAAGAATTTTCTGAGCTGTTTTTATCTGCTCACTTTCTATTTTCAGAAATTATCAACTTGAATCTGACGTTTGCCGTTTACCGTATACGTGAAGCTTAAACTGTCTATTTAGAGTCACGCTTACGGCAAACGGAAAAAGGGCAGATTCAAGTTGAAGATTTCCCAAGATAGAAAATGAGAAGGTGAAAACTATGCAAACTAATTCTTATTAAAAACAAAACTGCCGTGAAACTACTTTTTTTGTAAAAGTTATTAGAACAATTAGAAGTAAAAGGCAAGTAAAGGGAAATTTTGGTCACGTGGTAAAATTCACGTTTGCCGTCAAACGTCATTGAAAAGCTCTCTAACGTTTTCGCAGTTTTTGAAGAAACTAATTATTTAATTTTATCAAATATCCTAAATACAGTGTAATGTTTTAATCGGTATCCAAAAAGTCGATACTAACAACAAAGTCTGGATAGCCATTGAGGCTATATTCACACCATCCAGATAGCTTTAATTTGGGCCGACACGACAACCATCCCGGATAGGAGGACTTCTGTTCACCCAGTAAGAACGGTAATTTCGGCGTAGTTTCTGTAACGGAGCCAAGTTATATATATACCGCGCTGATCTCTAAAGTGGAGAATCACGCGCCGCCGGGATACTGGGTACATTGTGTTCATACTGTGAGTACCGAGATAGCTTTTGGTTTCGCCAGGGTAAGCTGTCCGATAGGGTGTGAGCATCGCCTGAGAAATGTCTTCTATTATCTTCGCAGCTGATAGCGAGGATAACAAACACGTGATGATACGGTGAGCGGTCGTTTCGTCTACAAGCCGTTTCGCTAACATGCTCGGAGACCCAGGGGCAGATAGTGGGGGCGAGGGAAAGTCTAAACGGGCGGAAAAATATGGCACGAAGAAAAGTAAAGAACGGCGAGAAGAGCCCCTGGGGACAATGTCTTACCAGACCAGTTCCAGACGGTCGCCGCCGTTCTGGCTTCTGACTGGTGCTAGAAAAACACAAGTTTTCTGCCACCAATCAGAAGCCAGAACAGCGACGACCGTTTGGAACTGGTTAGGCTTTTGTACATTATGCTTTTGCTTCCCCACTAAAATGCTCCACCTTAATGCTCCATTTTTCCTACTAAAATGCTCGGTCTCCCCCAAAAAGGGCCAAAAAGTCACTAAAATTCTCGGATAATGCTCATTATACAAACGGGTTTTTTTTAAATTAATTTCAAAGTTTACACTCACAAAAACGTGCAAGTGTTGCAAGTAACAACGATTTGTCCCCAGGGGCTCTTCTCGCCGTTTTTTACTTTTCTTTGTGCCATATTTTCCCGCCCGTTTAGACTTTCCTTCGCCCCCACTATCTGACCCTGGGTCTCTGAGGATGTTTCGCTAACGTCTTATGTCGTTCCGCTAAGAAGCGAATGACGAGTTCTGCGCATGTATATGCTTCGTTCTCTCAGGGATGATACAAAAAAGTGCGACACGCATTTCTATACCTCATTGTTTCATGCGCTAATCAGGCCACAGGCGGCCCAAACTCATTACATGAACGCGGACGTGACTCTTGCTTGCGAGCGGTGTTGTGTTACAAACGGTTATTTACAAAGGCTTGTATGGGATCGATCGGTTTTTCTTAAAGAGATAAAAAATGTTATGTTTTTAAATAAAATCGACGTACCTTATTGCCTTGTTGTATTCTTTGTTGTTTGCCCGCGTCTCAGGCCGTTTTGAAGCGTTTTCGGCGACTCAACACGTACGGGAAAAAACTTCAGAAGTTACCGAACAGGGCCCAGTTGCTCGAAGCATGGTTAGCGTTAACCAGCGTTTAATACCTTGACAACGTATTGGTTTTGATACTGCTTAATTAATGGTTAACTAATGGAGCAACTCAGCCCAGGACTTTGGCGAAACGACCGTAAACCGATGATACGACCCTTAGTGAAGGGCACCGAGTCTCTTATATTAGCTACCTGCTGGTTTCAGTCCATTTTCAACTTCGGATTTAAAAGCTCTATCCGTGTCACCATTGCAGTAATCCCACATATCAAGGTTATATCTCAGTCCGTCCGCAAATTCAAAGTAACCCTTAAAGAAACCAATAAAAACAAACAAAATTAAACTTAGATCCAACTAGGTGTCAGCACCACACTCGAGAACAGTCCTTTTGGTAGTGATTAACAGGGTGTTTCCTCTAACATACTAAGATATTTATTTTAAAAAAAGCCTAGCGTGGATACGAGTTGAAAAATTAAAAAACTGAGGTTTGATATGTTTTGGCGATTTCCTCCATAAATAATCTATACTAGCGGGCAATTTATGACGAAAGCTTACATGCCTGGCTTTACACAAACTAAGCATGTTTTATTAAACTAGGTTAAAAAAAATGAATAAGTGATGGAAAACTTAAACTCTTACACGGGCTTTAAAATAGGATTCGAATGAACTTCAACACGCATGTGACACTGAATTGCACTAAATTAACCATTAACAAAAGTACAGTAAGAAGCCTTATAAAGATAACAAGTTTAAACCAGCTTTTAAACTGTTTAAGCTTTGGTGTAAATGGGGCATTTAGTTAATTTAGCTAAATATTGTTGGAGGGAGATGCCGGTTCATACTGTACTTTGCCCGGGGCGTAAACGTTAGCTTACCTCAATGGTCTTTCCCTTTTCAAATTTTCCCATGAAGTTGACTCCTTCGGGAAACTTTAGTTTCCCTTCACCATGAAACCTATAAGAAAACTGATTTGCTGTCATATATTTCAAGTCAGTCTACTTAACTATCGAGACAAAAAAGGCCAAAAGCATGCTCACTTGCCCCTAGACAAATGAAATATGGTACTAAACTGCGTAACATCATAGTCACGGATATCCGAGTCTATGCACATGTTATGATATTTAGATTACTGAGGGTCTTGCCCCACGTAAGAGAATCCAAGGAAGATTTGGATTCTGGATTCCACGTCGTGGATTATGGATTCCAGGTACTGGATTCCGGCCGGTTTCTTTGTCGATGGAACTTGGATTCTAGGATTCCAGCCAATCGTTAGTGGGTGGGTAGTTCCGGATTCCATGTGAGCTTTATTCCATATTTCAAGGCCTCAGATTCCAAATTCTATGGCCAAAATTTGTTGGATTCCGGATTCTACAAGCAAAAATTTCCTGGATTCCAAAATCACGCCTCTTCTTTTACATGATTAGGGCGGAAGGTCGATCTTATGACTGTTAGATCTTTTTGTTTTTAATTTTCTTAACCCAAACTACACTACTACATTTCACTACTGCCCTGGTGAAAACTGTTTTTTCGCGCATCTTTTGTGCACAAAACATTAACGATAGTATTTCAATTCAAAACAATATCTCACAGGTTTAAGTTAAGCGTCGCAAATGACATTAAGATCTTATTATTTTTGATAAATCGGAATTTTCAGATGGCTGCCTTTTAAATGACTTCACATATCTCCAGTAAGAGCAAGTAATAGGCTTTCGACTTGGAATTTAAAATGATATCACATACTTTTAGGGATGCAATGAAGAGAGTGGGGACTTCCATTCTCTCGTATCACATCCTCGTTCCCAGGGTTCTCTCCTACCCGCCCTACGGAGCGTAGGGCGGGTAGGAGAGAACCCTGGGAACGAGGTTGCTCGCATCAACGTGGTGCAATGAATTTGCTAGTAATTCTTGGGGTTACATTACGATCAAAGAAGCCTTTCTTGCTAAAAGCACTAAGGTCCACAACACGTTTACAATTCAAATTAATAAGTAACCAAACCAACAAAAATATACCTACATGCCGTCCTGTATAGTCCCTTGGTATTCACTCCTAAAGTATTTTGGAAATGTGTAGATTGCTTCGGCATCGTCCATTCTTATTAAAAAATAAATCAAAAAGAAAATAAGAAGGTTAAATCAAACTGCAGTAAGGCATTGGTTGCCTCAAGGCTATCGTTTGGCAAAAGCGCTAATTGAAAATATCTATTCCTGTAATAAATGACCTTAATGCACTGTTCCTAGTTTACATCTCTCCAATAACAGTTCATGAACTGCCATACCCGCCTAGTATTCTTATTTACAAAATTAAACGTTTGAGGCGTCGAAGTGTCTTGGCAAAAACACGACTGCTAAAGAAAAGGTAGATTATGTTAATTTTGCTTAAAATACCACACGCTGATTTTGAAATCAATAGAGAACGCCTCCATTGAAATCAAACAAGTATTTTGGCAAGTGTTTGCTCCGCAAAATAAAAATATGAAATTTGATTCTCGAGAGACGTTTATAACGCACTGTGAATGGATTTACATCCTAAATTTATCAGCATTATCAATGTTTGATTTATAATAAATTATTCTCTGTATCCTTTTTTGACATATTACACAATTTTGCTTCTCTTAATGACATCAAATCACGAATAAATACGTGTGGAGCAAATTTAAAACTGTACTATTAAGGTCGGCGTTTATTTGAGATCCAGCCTTTAAAGGATTAACGTTGCTAAAAACGGTTGACATAAAACCTGATCATTATGAACGTTTAAACAAGTTTCCAGTCTACGATACAGTAACTCCTACCTCCCATTAACGAGACATCCCTCATAACTGGTTCCCATGCACTGCATTTTGCCGGTATTCCCGTCTTTCAACAGAGGCAAAACGTGNGTTTGAGGCGTCGAAGTGTCTTGGCAAAAACACGACTGCTAAAGAAAAGGTAGATTATGTTAATTTTGCTTAAAATACCACACGCTGATTTTGAAATCAATAGAGAACGCCTCCATTGAAATCAAACAAGTATTTTGGCAAGTGTTTGCTCCGCAAAATAAAAATATGAAATTTGATTCTCGAGAGACGTTTATAACGCACTGTGAATGGATTTACATCCTAAATTTATCAGCATTATCAATGTTTGATTTATAATAAATTATTCTCTGTATCCTTTTTTGACATATTACACAATTTTGCTTCTCTTAATGACATCAAATCACGAATAAATACGTGTGGAGCAAATTTAAAACTGTGCTATTAAGGTCGGCGTTTATTTGAGATCCAGCCTTTAAAGGATTAACGTTGCTAAAAACGGTTGACATAAAACCTGATCATTATGAACGCTTAAACAAGTTTCCAGTCTACGATACAGTAACTCCTACCTCCCGTTAACGAGACATCCCTCATAACTGGTTCCCATGCATTGCATTTTGTCGGTATTCCCGTCTTTCAACAGAGGCAAAACGTGACAGGCTGGCCAATTGGCTGGCTATATATTTAACTTCAGTATAATTTATTGTTTATGTGGGTTACGTCATAGGCTCAGGTAATTGCGTCATTCTTTGCGCGCGCAGTAAGAAACCAGTTCACAACCTCGTTTCCAGGGCGATCTCTGTTTAACCCTGGGAACGGGCTTGCCCAGTTCACGGATTTCAAAATAGTCAAAATATCTTATCTTTAGAAATATATCACAACATGTTGGTCTTTTGGACTTTAGTAATTTATATTGAAATTCTCTCAAGGGAGTAGCTAAAAGCCTAAGCACAAAATATTGTTTTTGATACGCTGCAATGCACTTTGATACCAGAATAAAATAATGAAATCTTGAGACGGAAAAAACTAGACTATTTTTTCGATTTATTTAAATTTCATTTGATGCTTTAACATTTTTTGTGCCAGTGAAGAATCTGGGCAACGCTGAAGGATATACAGTGATTCCTCTGCAATTTACTAATATCATTTTATTATATTACCGATTTTAAATTTTGACAAGCTACACCCATTTTCCTTGGGTATTTCAATTTCGGTGAGAGGAAGAAACGATGTAAAAAAAGTTCCTAGGAAAAAATACAGGAAATTTTCCTTACAGAATCTAATTTCCTTTCCCGCCGATGAAAGCTAGACTGAATTCGGTCTTGTGAAAGCACTTAATGTATATTTTATGAAACATGGCGAGAACGAAATTATGTGAGAATTAAAGATGTAAGGTTAACAAACAGCATACTCGTAAACCCTCCCATTCATACCAGTTAACGTTGTTGGTGGATCCCCTGTTAAAACAAGTAAGTCTGGTTCAACAGACTACGTTAATAAATTGTAAACTGTTCCGCAGCTAAAATACAGGATTCAGAAGGGTGTAGGTTTTCCTTATTGCAATATCCAAGAACCAGGCGAAGCACACTTGATTCAGGCTCATGAATTAACAGCAAGATAACAACTGTTCATTATTAATAACTGCAGAGTACTTTGATTAAAGATTGTCAAAGAAATGGACGTAGCCAGTGCAGGCAATTGGTGAATAAATGTGATTTACACGTCAATCAAACCCACTTAATGAGGATTCGATCGTTGTTCTTTTAGGATGTTTAGCTTAAATTTGAAGCAAATTAAGCTATTTGCGGGGCAATTAAAAAGAGCGTATCTACCACTTGCCATTCCCTTTCATTTTTGAACTGGGACCTGTTGTTCGTTTCACGTTAGAAGTTTCCTACTGAGTCAGCCTATGAGTTAAAAATTAATTAACATCGATCACATTAACCAGTTCAATCGGTGGTGGAGGAACACTACAGAACTTATTAACCTTTGAAGACATTATCCAAAGAAGTAACTCACTTTTATTGTTTATTCGGGAAATTTAACCCATTTTTCCTTCACAATAGTTTTATTTCACCAGCAAAGGAGTTTCAATATTTTCCATCTTTCTGGGGAGCAAAAAGGAGGCATTGTCATGATCCAACTATTTCGATTAAAATCATGATAGAGCTTCGGCTAATTCTTCAAAAGGTCGCGAAAACTGGTTTTTTAAAACAAATGAATTAGGCAGCCTTTTAAAATCTACCAGATATTTTTCGTTAAAACGTTTCATTTAAATTGCTGTTTTAAAATGTTCCTGACACAATTTGACATGGATGATAACATAGCCATAGCATA